TGTTCATTTAGCTATTAAAAATCAATACAGGACTGAAGGTTAATTTACAAAAATAAAAAGCCAAGAGGAAGACTTACGATTTTACAGGCTCATAAAATTTTACTTAGAATTTATTTATATATGGAATTGTTAGTGACTTGCATAGCTGAATATTTTTTTTTTTACTGTGTATTTGCAATATCAAATACAATTACTTGCAAGCTTGTGAACCTGTTTTCATTTTGGCCGCTGTATGAAAGCTGAGTAATCAAATTATAAACGCATGTATAAATCCATTGAAGTGGTCAACATGGCAAAGYAGAAGTACCAGTGTATCCCATTTCCTCTGGGCAGGAAACAAACAAAAGAGATGAAAGCTCTTTCAGAGTGGGCTGCCTTGCACCCTGTGCTGCAGCGTATCAAGGGAATGTGTGAGCGTCTTACTTGGGCACCATTCCCTGTGTGTTTCTGAATTTGTTATTCAGCTGCTTTCTGTGTGGGCTCAGAGATACCATGGTTTGTACRCTGCAGGAGCATTCAAAGATGTTGAATTAGTGCTCTCAGTTCTGCACARAGTAAGGTATCGAGGTACAGTCCTGTCTTGAAAGGGTTAAAGGCACTTCAGGGTTGCAGGTTTTGCATTTGCTTTTTAAAAATAAACCACTAGTTTATATTACTTTAAAGAAGAGTCCTCTGCCTCTTAAGCCGTTTTTAATTACCTTGATTTGTTAGGCACAGCAGCAGGGTGGATCTCGAATTAGTTGGATTTCAGTTTATATTCTGCATAAATGTCCAGCAGTTCTGCACAGCCTTTAACTCAAAATCARTATGCAAGTGGAAATGCTTTACCTGCTTGAGACAATTTGTAGTACCACTATAATGTGAAAATCAGTTTAGACTCAGGGTATGAGAGTCATTTTTTTTCCAGTGAAACTAAAGAAAATCCATGAACAAGATGAGAAGCAAGATTGCACTCCCTCTCTTGTTCTCTCTGGTACCGCTGCTCTTGTATCCCCTTATGACCCATTTCAAAAGCACAAATTGGGAGCAGCACTGTCCGAGCATGTTCGGGGTTTTGGCATTGTCCTACACAACGGCATTGTCCTACACAACGGCAGCAGTGGGTTCAGATACAAACTCAGAATAGTCTTAAATTCACACCTTTATTGTAAGAGCAATCCCTGTAGTAACCAGGCAGTCATGCAGAAGGTGCCTTCTTCCAGTGGGCTGATCTCCATTGTGGGTGCTGAGGGGATGAAGCAGCTTCATTGTAACAGCTGCATCAAAACACAGACAAGACTGGTACTCCTGATGTTCTTTGTTCTGAAGAGAAAGATGCTCTGWGTCTTTTGAGACACAGTCTGGGGAAGCTGCATATATGTCTCGTTGGATTTAGGATGGTGACTCTTTCTTCCATCTTCCTGTGTCAGCAGACAAGGCTGTTTCATGGTTCTTGAATTATACATGGCCTGCTTTCACGTAGTCACCTACCTGTCTGGCAGCAAGGATTGCAGAGAGAGCACCAAAGCTCAGTCTCTGCAGCAGTGCAGGGTGTGCAGCACGGAGACTCTTGGCTGCAGGAGCAGGGCCCCCGWGGAGACAGGGCATGCACATCTGTCCTGACGTGGGTGACCAGCTGATCAGCAATCTTATTCCTGGCAAGGATTGCTGTCCATCCAGGTGATTCTCCTGAAGAAGTGTGTTGAAATTAAGAGCCAGTTACAGGCACAAGCAGTGGAGTTCAGAGGAGCTATGACCAGTTCCAGGCTAGTGAGCACTTGCTCAAAGACAGTGTCCTGTCAGTACGATTGCTTCAATGTGAGATGAAATCTAACCCTGCTACGATGGTATGAACATGCCTTGGAGCATTGGACCATATGTCAGCATGCACATGACGTCCAATGCCAGCCTTCAGCTGGGGATCCTAGAACTTTGGCTCGAGGCCATATGCTTCCCATAGAGACACCAGATGGACAAGAATATTTTGTCATCTCATTGTGTCCTCATGGAGTTGCTATAGTAGCTAGAACTTGAAAAGCCCAGGGAAAGGGAATACTGATTCCTGTGTCCCACCTTCCKCTCAGAATCTGGGCACAGACATGGGCAGAGATGCCCACTTGGCCTGCACAGAGGTGCAAAATGTCTGACCAAGAAAGCTGTAGGTCTTCATCTCAGCTTTCAGAGAATTCAGAGCCAAAGCACCTGCAGTGCCTGAGTGAAAGGAATTCATATTGTATCTCTGAATTCTCACACTACACCTTCTGGCAGACAACTCCTTCATTAAAAAGAAAGGAACAACAAGCAAGTAGTGTAAGCTCACCATTATAACTCAAAACTGTTGAAACCTGGAAACTGCTTGAAAATAATAATTATCTGGTGGACTTCAGTTACTGTATCACTAAGAGTTGAGCCAGGGAATAGACCTGCATGTTTTTCTTGATGGCACTGACATAATAATAAAGGATGTTATTCCATCTGTTTGTTTCAATGGGRGAACAAGTGCAGAATTGTTACCCCAGATCATAATTCTACACTGGACTGCAGTCTTCCAGAAAACCTTTGCACAGATCATRGGGTTTGTATGGTTTGTAAGGTGATGAGGAACATCCTGTGCTCCTTACCAGCTGAGATGGTTTGGCTTAATAAATTACAAATGTCCATCAGTSTCTGATTCATTTCCTAATTTGCCAGCTGTAATTTAATATCATCTTGATGAGCTGTTTCGCTCAGATACAGTCTTCTGGCAATTCACAACCTCAGTTGAATACTAGAGGTCAGGTCTGGGCTAGACAAACCCAGGTGAATGTGAAGCAGATGAAGATCATTAAATTTCAAGCTATGGGTCTAGAGAAAAGAGGCGTTTGGTACAGCATTGGCTGGCCAACAGGATGCTTCTTTGCCTTTATGGCAAATACCAGATGGGGGGAATTATACAGAAAAGCTAAAATGTGTGAACTTAGTAGCTGTGTTTGTATAGCACATTGGAGAAAAGGAATTTTTCTGTTAAAGAGGCAAGGAAGGAGGTAATTACAATAATCAAAATTGGAAAGAAAGCGCTCTTGTGTGTAGCTGTCGGACTAGAATGGAGGGACAAGAGTTGGGTGATTGTTGCMTTGCCAGATGATTAAAGTGATATTGTCATAGTTGTGACTATTTTCCAGTATGAGCATGTGTGGGGTTTATTGCTTGTTATTCTGATAGATGTGTGTACTGCAGCTTCTGTRCAATCGCTGTCATGCTTCCTCTGCATTGAAATGGAATTTTTTGGAAAGGCTCATTTGAGATCTGTTACAGTGACACACACACACACATGCACACAGGTAGATGCTTGCTCTGCTTTTGGCAGGGATACCATTTCTTTCTCCTCTCAGTTCAGAGGCATGCAAATCAGATTAATGTCTTGCTTCAGATTTCTGTTAAAATTCTTTTGGATGTTTTAAGCCTTCATTTCTTAAATATGCTGAGCATTCTGGGTGAAAGGAGTTTTTTCCAGGATAAACTGACACATGATTGCTCTCTCAAGTCTCTCTTCMCTTGAGATGGGAGATCCATCAGTCCTCTCTGTTACATGGATGGGTGGGGCTCTCYGTGAAACTTTAATTAGAGGTTTTAGCCTTCATGGCACGGACACTAATTGCAGAATGTGGCTGCATCTGTCGCTTTGAATTTTATGCTGAGTAAAATGGAGTCTTGTTTGATTCTGGGAGGATTGMGAGTCAATAAGGAGATATGATTACAGGGTTGTTTTTTTGTTTTGTTTGAGCTTCTGTTTGTTTTGCTCTCTAGTGTTAGCATCATCTGTTTTTTCAAACATATTTTTTAGTTACAGTTTGTGTTTTTAAATTTCTATCTCTGCTGGTTTGGGTTTTTTTAATGGTACAAAACCACCAYTGCAACTTTTGTTCAGCTGCTCTAATGATCTTCCTGTGTGCCAGTTCTAGACTTTTCAGTGGGTTTACACTCTCCTTCCTTGTGCTGATGTTTCTTCATGTTTACCTGTAACTCTCAACAATTCATTTCCACTCAAGAAAATAATTGATTGATCTCTGTGATTGTTTGCARATAGTCCCATAAATAAGCATTTTCTGAATGTTATCTAATTTATTTATTTATAGTAGTTTTGTGTAGAATAGTCTAGTCTGTCATTGTCTTCCCCCTTCAATGGTTCAAATTAGCTATAAATTATTACGCTGTATTTGGGGGTTTTGTTTACTTGGGTTTGGGGTTGTTCTAGTAAGTTTAATCTGTAAGCTAATGAAGGGGTTTTTTTCTGCAGAGAACTAAATCTGCCCCAAATATTTTCCCAGTCCATTCAGCAGAAAATATCTTTGCTGTGTGCAACACGCTGAAGGCACACGGAAGCAGACTGGCATAAAAGAAAAAACAATCCTGTAGGAAAGCATGAACTGTAGGTAGGAGAACTGAGAGAATGCAGAATAAGCCTCTGTGCTAATTCATGTGTAAAGCAGCTTCCAGYAGCAGCTGCCCTGGAAGTGCAGTCAGAGTGATGAGGTACAGAGTGGGCTGATGGACWGACTGACAGACCTGGCAGGCTGCAGGGACACCTCATGTACAAATACAACTGCAAGAAGGGAAAAACAGGCAGATATTTCTAAACAGCATCTAATTGCAGAAAAAAAATGGTACTGCAAGAATTGATTCTGTTGATTCTTACAGCTGGAAAGGGCAGGAGAAGGGGAGGGAGGCAGCAGTGGATGGGCCATATCAGATAGGTGTTYTAAACACACGCGTTTTGGGAAACACTGGTTGCATGACTGGTATTTTTAAGACCAGAAAAGTTACTTTATTCTTTTCCCATTGTGCTAGTAAAAAGGAGAGTTTTTACTGTCCTGACAACAAGCTTAAAGCCTGTTTTAGTTTTCTAACTACAAGAGAGCATGAACCCAGAGTGTAGTCAGGTGAAGAAGTAAAGTATTCATTTAACTTAATTATTTAATCAGAAGAGAGCACTGTTCTTGCAATGCAACACAACTCTAATAATCTATTCATTTTGATTTCAGAAGTCTACAGAACAGATGAAGAAAGTACCAACCATTGTCCTGTCTGTCTCTTACAAGGGAGTCAAATTTATTGATGCCACTAATAAGGTATGTGCAATTATTCAATATTAGCTTTTGTTTCTTACAACTGGGAGAAATAGTAATACCTATGAAGCCCRGGCCAGAGAGGGCACAGATTTGCATTTCATGTTTTCTTCTTTTTTTCTTCTCTTTTTTCCAAAATGGCTGTAATATCATTGTCATTCTCCAGAAACTCAGTCTGGCGAGCAACTGAAGCCACTTTAATGGTTTGGAGAACATTGTGTCCAGCATTTATGCTATTGCTATTAAATGCAAGTTTATCACAAAAGGCATTTAGCAGAGAGCCTCTGTGGAATCCTTTACCATATTCTTCTCTGTACAGTTCCTTAAATATGCAGGATATATATATATATATATATATATATATATATATATATATACTCATTAATGCAATTTGGGCAAAATTATTTTAAAAAAAGATGCAACAATGAAGAATAAAGATGCAGTTTTATCCAGTGTCAGCCACTTCAAGAATAAAAAGCACAAGCCTTGAATATCCTTTTAAAATATCGGAGCCTCTCTGTGAGCTGTTTTCTTGATGCTAGCCATTTAACTACCTGAACTGCAGCAGCTTCTTAATAGTTGTTATTTCATTTTTTTTTTTCATCTTCCTGTGTGGCAATGCTCCTGTGCTTTGTTTCTTACATTTTAAAATGCATCCAAAAATCTTTCAAAAACCCCAACTAACCAAAGCCACAAAAGCAGAAATTGAGAGATCAGAGAACTCAGTGATGGATAGAGCAATGGATTATTGCTTAGCCAAAGTGAAATGTACAAGCTCTGTAAAGAGAAGTAAAGTAACACATTAATTTCTCTTCTTTGTGTGTCTGAAATGGCAAGGAAATACAATCCTGCTTTTATATGAACAGAAAAGAAATTATCTTTTCTGTTATATGACTAGAACTGACTAAGCAATATAAAAGGTTAATGATGAATGTTAACATTCAGACACAGTACATCTAACCCAGTATCCATCAAACTTGCCAAATCAATCAGTTTTTTAAAGGTGTTAAACTAGAACTGTGTTTTAAGTGAAGGATGATGGAAGCAGATTCGTGAACTTTTGCCAGCGTTTGGAAGCCATATTTAGAGATAGAGGATGGCACAAAAGAAAAACTGTGGTGAAATTACTGTTTCTTCAGGTCTGRCATATTTACGAGAGCAGAGGGGCCAGAGATTCCTTTCACCTCCTTTTTACTTCCACTGATTCAAAACTGAGCTTCTACAACCCTCATTCCCTTTATGTTCTTTGACATGTAGGGCATAAATCAGGACATTGTAATGCTATTAACTCTAACTTGGATAATGCTGTTTCCAGCTCTTAAATCTTGTCTGTAGCRTAAAGGATGTAACGGCAACGGCCTTAGGTTTACAAAAAAAAAAATCAGGAGAACAAAAGGAGCTTCTTGTGTCTCTTGGCACAGTGCATCGAGTCTTATGTAAGATGGAAACCTGAAGAAGTTTGGCAAGTTGCATTAGATGGCTCTTGATGAGTCCCACTGAAATCTAGAAGTGCAACAGATGTGTTTGGTGGAGGTAAATAATGCCACAGTCCAATGTTTTTTTTTCTCAAGTGGTAGATTGCTTTCTCTCCAGTTCAAAATCTGCACTGCCTTTCCCTTCTGTAAAAACCAGGTAATAGCCTGCAACTGTCCCAGAAGCGTTGTTCTCATCCTTGTCCACAGTGTGCCGTTCCCAATTCCTTCAAGACCCAAAACAGATTAGCACTAAGGTGAGAGCCTATTCAGACKTGTACTGCTTCCACATGAGCTTATAGTTGACGGCGCTGGGCACCACTTAGCAAYAAATGCATACTTTTTAATGACAAAACTAGCTAGCAGTTCTGTGCTTGAAAACTCAGCTCTCATGGCTGTTCATCCTTTTCCTTTATGCCACCAAGCTAAGAATTTGTATTCCCAGTCATAGCAGGTAAAGTTGCAGGTGACCAGGGGCCCTGACCTCATTCCACGGCAGCTGTCTCAGTGGCACCTTGAAGCTTGGCATGACACCATTTCCTTGCAAGTGAGGCCAGAAAGAAATTGCTGCTTAGGAAAAAGCAGACTCACAGAACTTCCTCGTGGCTCACAGCTCTCCCTAACTTCTGGGTGATTTCTGCCAGAAGGGAGATTGGCTGGCACGAGGTAGGCAAGCAAAGGAAAGCTGCTTAGCAAAAGCGTGGTCTCTCCGAGGTATTTCCTTGGCAGAACCAGAACTGACTTTCAGCTTCCCCACTTTTTGAGAAGCACCAAAGGTTTCTCTTGCCAAAATAAAGGACTGTTTTTAAAACAGCTGTACAGTGTCAGTCAGTGCCCAAGGAGTGTATCCAGAACAGCAAGCTGGTTCATATCCTTCTACTTCCTACAGAATGAGCCCATGATTACTGAAATAGTGACACTAGGAAACAGTAAACACATGAAGCACTGAAAAATGTTTAATTTTGAAAGGAGATCACAGAGGATATCCTAGTATAGCTTGAGAAAAACTCTCAATTTCACTACCAATTTCCATCCATAAGATTTAGTTTAGGTATCTTTTATTTTATTAAAAACAAACTCGATATGTATCTATTTCTGAAATTCACTTGGTTTAAAATTAAAACATTGAAATAATCTCCATGAATTTTTACTCAAGTGCAAATCCCTGTGTCAACCCTGGGTCATCTAGAAAAAGTTTCAGCGTAGCAGAAACATACACTGCAGAAAAACATAGCTTTTCACATATGCAGCATAAATTCAGGTGATTACATTGTGGCTCATGATTTGGCATAAATACTTCACATGTGATTTTAAGAACTTCCCAGCTTGATTTCTTTCTGCTTTCTGAACTACAATGTTGCCAACACTACATCAATGACGGTGTATTACAGCTCTTATCTGTGGATATCTAAATCCCTGGTTTTGGCATAATTCTCAACAAAATCTTTATTGAGGGTAAAAGTTATCAATTTGAGAACAAAGCAAGTAAAATGCTTCAAGTAACATAAAAAGCAAGCAATTGTTGAGCAGAGATTATACATGTCATTATAAATTGGCATATATTGAAACACAAGTACTGGTTTTGTCATTTTTATGAATAATGCATTAAACAGAAATAATCAAGTATGTTGCAACAACTTAAGAGGATTATTTCTTTTCTTCAGTAAAAGTTTCCTTATCCCAGTTTTTTCATAATTTAAAATTTTGCATGTTTTTTAATTAAGATTTTTCCTAAGTCATAATTTCTTCAATTATATATTTTAATACCTCTTTTCAATAACTTGACACCTACGAGAAGGAAAGTTGCCAGTTAGCAAATGAGAAAAGATATGGCAAAGCAATCTGAAGTGCTTTACTTGTATTAAAAAAAAGACTAAAAACGAGGGTTGGAGGAAAAGAGGTGGGAAGGAAGAGAGAGAGGTGAGGGAAAACAAGGTATGCTCAGAGGTTGTTGTAACTCAGACAGATGCAACCATGGCAGCAGCAAGCAGTGGCTGTGTGAGGAACTGGGGCACTACAGTGTCCCCTGGTCCATGCTGCAGCAGAATATGTCACTGTGGGCTTTTGTGGAAATGCCAGAGCTACAGCCAGTGGGGCTACAATTCAGGAAAGCATATGAACTATCCCCTGAGTATATTCCTATCCAGTGAATCATCCTTCTCCTTAGACAGGCCATTTGAAACACGTGTGTTGCTGAAGCAAGGCCTGATCATAAGCCACTCTGCATTATCTTCTTCCCTGGCTTCATGGTTCCTTTGGCCTGAACACAATAATTACATATCAGCAATTTATGTAATGAGTATTCATAATTTTCTCCAAAGCTTTAAGACATCCTTTTTTTATGCCATCAGACAGACATGCCCCACCTCTCTCCCAGTAGTGTGCTATAGCTTACATTGGCTGTTGCAGTAGTGTGGCTCGGTGCATGAACCGTTTCATTTTCCTACATCTCTCTTACAGGATGCTGTTGTCAGTAAGTGGAGATAAGTCATCAGATCTTCCTGTAGTTACCATTTTAGTAATCAGAATCCTTTAAGTAACTCCCATCTTCAATTATGAGAGATGTTTGGTGTTTTTTTCCTCTGAAGAAGTATAGCTAAAATTGGTCAAACAGCATGTGCAAAAACCTGACTATTGAGCTTCCCAGGTTTCACCAGATCCTGGCTGTCAGTAGACCGAAAGAGTGTCCCATTTTGATCACTGTACAAAACCCCAGCAGCTTCATAAGATATATAAATATCTGTATCTATAAATACAGTTTCAAAGCACTATACCAGCATCTTATGAAGTTGTGCCCTGTGTGCCAGGAAAGATGTCTCTTTGTCAAAGGATCCTGAATAAACTCCAAAGCACAAGTGGCCTCATAGAGAAGACTCTAGAACATAATAATTATTGGCAATTGGAGAGGGTTAAAATTCCAAATCTCTGTAAGTCACAAATGGGATATATTAAATCTTCATTAAATCAATTAAGAGATTGCTGAAATATTTTGGTACAGTAGATCAATGTAAATGCAAATCTAAACCCACACCTTTTCTGACTCTTTTAAAGTTAATTCCTGAATTGATTGAGTGTATTTTTTTTTAAACAGAATATTATTGCTGAACATGAAATCCGTAACATTTCCTGTGCTGCACAAGACCCCGAAGACCTTTCGACGTTTGCGTACATCACTAAAGACTTGAAGACCAATCACCACTACTGCCACGTATTCACTGCATTCGATGTGGTCAGTTTGTGGAAGAAACTTCATTTCATAGTTCTTTCCTCTAGTGATATTTATTCTGTTAAAACATTTTCAGGATGTATTAATGGTGATTAATGGAAGGTATTAGTTTACCACATGAAAAGATTACTATGGGATAGCAAAAGGAAATTTCTGGAGAAGAGCAAAGATTTTCTTTGATATCTCATTTCCCATCTGAAATAACTCACCTCTGTCACCCCAGCTGTTGACTGTAAACTTAGCAAGTAGCTTTTCATACAAGTCTTGACATGTAATTCTTATATAAACCATAGCCTTCCAAAAAGTTTGTAACAAGAAGATTTGACCATCCATTCTGAAATCTCAGCACCCACCAAAAGATTGACTTTATTCTGAAAATTGTAAATTAATTATTTAGTTCTTATTTCCTTGTTCTATAATTCTTGCCTACATATCTCAAAATGTTACTTCCGCAAAAGTCCTTGGAATTCCTGTTTCGTTGGTTGAAAATTACTGATTTCTTCCTATAGTTATGCTTTTCAGATGGGGATGCATAAACTGTTATTGTTTCAAGAAATCATGAACACATATCAATTAATTGGTCATGCAGTTTGCAGCTAAAATTGGTGAAATAAGTAAGTAATGGCAAAAGTTTTTATGAGTAAGATTTATAGTCCAAACCTTTCAAGAATACTTGCCCTTTGAGTCATGCCCAAGAGAAATTTAAAATGCTATTAAAACCTCCAAATTATTCAAGAAAAAAAGAACTAATTACTAATAATAATGATAATATATATGACTTCTTGAAAGATGCTTACATGAGTATAAATAAGTTAAATAAAAAAACCAGGGGTGCCTGAACTGCAGCTTTTTATTTGGGACTGGGGAAATAGTTAACATTGCACAGCACTAGTGTGTGGGAGAATTTAAATAACAAGATGTAAAGGTAGATTAGAGGAATTTTAGCATTTTAGTTGAGTGCTTTTGTTATTTAAATTCTCTGCTAACATTTTAGTATCCACAGGGAGCAGAAAAACTTCGAAATTGTGTTAAAAATAGATAGACAATGATCAACACGATGTTACATTATACAGGTTTTTGGTATCAGGGATACGTGAATCAACTGAAATTAGACTGATTGAGTGAGGTTATTACTTTTGCTGGTCTATTTAAATTCTACTTAATGGCTTTGAAGTACTGCAGTTTCATTTATAGGTTTAGTAATCAAGCAGAAACATAGACTCAGGTATAACAGATGAAATTCATCTCCTTTCCTGGCAAGGGAAGAAAAGTAATCTAGAAATAATTCCATTTTGCCCACTTCCTGTATCTTAGGAGGAGCATTTAATATCCGAAGCACTTTAAATGGCTATTTTAAGCAATGCAGAAACATTAGTGTCTAACTGTCTTAACTTAGTTTTCTTCTGCAACCTAATCCTCAGTGGGGTGTTACCTACTCAGATATTCTCTTTTTGTGTTGTTTTATTTCTTAGGAACTAGCATTTTTGATGCAAGTACAAGTTCTATAAAAATAGCTAGATATTCAGAATGCAAGCACACCGTAAATTAAATTTGCTCTTTAAAGCCTAATGCTTATGTTAATCTGATCTTCCTGTTTGCCAATAGAAACAATTTAACCATTTGTCAATGGATAGAAGTACAATCATTTTAAGAAAGGGTTTAGAATGGTACAAATACACAATAAGGTATAATGCCTTTTAAATCATGTATATTTTGGTAATACAATATATGCAATGTTATGATAAAAAATCAATCTCTTGGGTCCTTCAGTTTCTCAGGAAATGTGGGCAAGAAATAGGGAAGTATTTTAGTGTTGTGCCATGTAACCACAAGCATTACTGATACTCTTTAGGAGTAACTGTACATTTAACGAGTACTCAGAGTTAAAATTCTATAATCAAAATTGCAAAAACATCAGACTTTATTAAAAAATATTGAAGGGGAAAAGGTTTTGGGGAACAATAGGATTTATTGCTCAGTATTTGAAATCCACTTCACTTTCATTCATTTACTAAGCAGCCTTAAATCTACAAGTGAGGGGATTCCCTCTGGAGAAACAAACCCTCAACACAGCTTCTCTATCAATTTCTGGTTCAAGCACTGGAGACATCCAAAGTAATTTCCATCAGATAATCCTTCATTGCCCAATGCACCTATGAACAGAAGACAACAGAAAAGTCAGTTAAAATGTAAGAAACAATTAGGCATTGTAACAGGTTGGCTGAGTAAAAGCTGAAGAATCCTGACTCATGCTTGMACTGGGCCACTGAATTGTAGCAGTGTCTGGGAAACAAGGCAATTGACCTTCCTCATCTCCCAGAAATTGGTGCTTAAAGGCATTGGCTTACCCACTCTCCTTCTTGTGTGCCAAGCAAGGAGCAGGATTGCAGCAGCCTGGAAAGACCCAGGTCTTTCTCTCTCCTTTCTAAGGAGTTTGACAGTGAGAGTCAGTGTCTTCTCTACAGCAGACAGGGAGTCTAAACTTCCTTTAAGTGTCTGTCAGGAAGGCAGACCTGTATCCTTCCTTTTGTGCCACATGTAAAATGTTCAAATAGTCTCACCACTCCATCAGAACAATTTCCACAATGGATTCTGGTTTGGTTTTTCCCCTCTACGCTCAAGGGGGTATCCTGCTCTCACCTCTCCAATAAAGCCCCTGCAAGAATCTGTACCAACTATAGTCCTTATAATCCTCTCCCAGTACTACAGGTGGGACAGTCCTCAGCCCAAACTTAATTACTCATGGGTTTTTTTCAGATAACTTCTTTAAATTTTACAGGGTACAGTTTTAAAGCTCTCCTTGCCTCCATTTGTARACTTCCCTTTGTCAAGGCTCTACCATAGTACACAATGTATGAAATTTATGTACAAGTTATGGTTCAGTTTGCATTTTGAATATTGAACAGAACCGTGAATATTCTGTTTTATTTGCTAGATTTCAAATATTTATTAACCAGAGAAACAGTTACATATTTTTATGGTTTTCAGGTCCCAGGCAGGCCTGTTTCTTTTTTTTTATAGACAACAAGGAAAAACAGATTGTAGTGGCTTCATACAAGGTGCAGGACTTAAACTAAATTTATGGCTCATTATGGCAAACTTTCAGTTTGCCACTCTTCCCCCCTCTTACCTCCAAAATTTTTAGGCCTGTCTCAGTGTCTTCTTGTATGCCATCCTGGATGGTGTAATTTCTCAGTCCTGCTAGTATTGCAACCTGCACATTCCCCAGCAAGCCGTTCCTACACCTTATCCTGCTGCATGTATTCCTTAGTAATAATAATACCTTAGAAATAATAATCATATTATTATTATAATATTCCTTAGTAATAATAATATTTACTGCAGACAATCCTGTCATGATACAGTATGTTCTCTTTCTGTCACAACAGCTGATTCTAAAGACATCTCTCTTTAGAATAATATTCTTATCCCACTGAAAAGCACACTCCATTTCAAATTATGTAATTCTCTACATTTTTAACGCCTATACTCTGTTGCTCTTAATTCCATAGCCAGCATTCTGCTAAAACACAGAGCACTTTGTAACAGCCTCTTTAGTTTTTCTTCTATTATTCCTCTGGCAAATTGCGTCCTCAGTGTTTTTTCAGTCCTGGCCAGTTTCCCTTGAAGTTAAAGGGGAGATAATTTGGAGCTTACAGCTATCAAATCAGGCAGACATTTTTATTTGGGAAGCTGTGCAACTTTGGCTGGCTTGCTGTTGTGACACTCTTGTGTAGTTGTAACAGCAGAGAGCCTGTCCCAGTGCTGGAGTAGAATTGTTTTCTGTCTGACCTAACACAGGCCAGAGCTGGCACCTTTATAAGAAGCTCTTTTAATGAGCTAAATATGCTGAATTTAGCCTGTATTATCTTGGTATATTTTACTGATAAAAAGGAATGGAAATTCTTCAGGGAAATGACAGGGCATGAAATAAAATGCTTTTCCATTTGACTTTGTTTAATGATTGAATTGCTGCAAATAGTGTACTTCAAGTGCATTGCATTGCATTTCTTTATCACTTACTGCAAATTTAACAGTTAGACTAGTAAAGACATACCTCATTTTAAAAAAGGATCAGAAATGTGGGAATTTTAAGGGATCACCTAAGTTCAAAGCAATGCAGAATTGCTTCCAACTGTAGGCTATGGAGGTTGAGGAAGGAGAGGGTAACTTCTGAATCACTCCAAAGATTTATGAATTATTCTAAGGGGACTGTAGGACACCATATGGAGGCAAACCAGTAGGCTTGAATTTGCTCTGCAGGGGTTAGAAACATTATTGCAGAGTTAGTAGCCCAGAAATAGGCTCTAGTAGGAGCCTAAAATAGACTCCAGTAGGAGGCCAAAAATAAATATACAAAAACAAACCCACAAACCTGAGGGAGAATTACCATAGGAATTCACTTGCCATTTAGATTAAAGTCATATTTGAAACTCACAGCTGCTTTTTCGTTGATGTAAAAACTGTGCTGAAAAGATATTTATACCAACCCCTCTGATACCTAATTTATGCTTTATAAATCTTTCAACAGGTTGTCTCTCCATATTGAAAGGGATTTAGAGCATTCTACCTGTAGCATCAAAAAATTACATTTAGATAATTTTTAATCAATGAGAAATCAAATGTTTCAGATGTAAACATTACAGAGACTGAGGAACCTATTACCAGCGTGATTTTCATTAATTATTTACATTACAAATCACAACCCCACTTCATGTATCTGACAATAATTCAACCTCCCCTCAATTTTAACTGTTTCTGTTTTGTTCCAGAATTTAGCTTACGAAATCATTCTTACGCTAGGACAAGCATTTGAGGTGGCCTATCAGCTTGCACTACAAGCACGAAAAGGGGGCCATTCTTCAACCCTCCCTGAAAGCTTTGAAAACAAACCCTCTAAACCTATTCCCAAACCACGTGTTAGTATTCGGAAGTCAGTGGTAAGTAGAAGGTAGTTATGCATGCAAAAAAGCTCAAAATTCGGCTATGCAGTTAAGAGTTTAAATACTAGAAGCAGTACAAATAAAAATACCTCTAGAGGCAGAAATGCTCCATCGTGCCACCTCTGCTCATCAGCTGACAGGGTTGTGTCACCACAGCACTGGCAGCCATTTCAAACAACTGCTTATTTCAGATTCCTCCAGTTTAAGATGTTGCTTGGTTAGCCTTGTCTATATGTGTGTTATGCAGAGTTTTAATTAATTCCGTTTAATCAATACATACCTCTCAAACTCTGCAGTTCCAAGGACTTTTCTAATCTCCTATCACCTAACTTGTTTGGTATGGGATCTCTGCATATGTATCCTAATTAAATTACAAATCCAAATCAATTTACAATTATCCTATCACACCAAGCAACTTCTTTTCTTTACTTACCCTTTTTTTTTCTTTTTTTTTTCTTTTTTGATCTGGGATCAAATTTTTCAGTACTAATCACAGACCCTTAAGAAATAAAGCTCATTGAAGCATACGTATTGATTGTCTTTAAAGCGCCCTCCTGAAGCGCAGAGATGACAGAGAAATATTCTTTTACACTAGACCTTTTTAAAAAAATTATGAAAATTATTATAAATTAAATGAGAATATTGTCACGGGGTGATTTGGGAGGGGAAGGAGAAAAAAATGACTGCACATTGTATCATATTCACTGATTATAAAGTGAGAACTGTACGCTATGACACTTAATTATTGGGTGAGAGGAAGGGGGAGGGGGGGAAATGTGTGATTGTACACTCTGTCATCCATTGCCACAGAATCTTCCTCCATAAAATTTTAAGTAGAAACATTTCCTGATGCCATCGTCTGTCTCATTAGCGAACAGACTTCTCAGGATGAAGTGTGGCTTTAATGAACTATGATACCCTATAGCTTGGGGGTAAACACAGCTCTGATCTCAACAGGAAGAAGAAGGCAGCCATGAGTACATGGGAGTGTAGACACCACCATACTTGCTGCTGTCCGACTTTGTCAATTCAGGATTTGCCCTGTTAGTTTAAAGAAAAACCCTCTGCTCAAGCTGCCTGCACGGAGATGGTAACCCGTCTGTATGTTTGCATTTGTCTTAAAGCAGATAGATCCATCCGAACAAAAGACTCTTGCGAATCTACCCTGGATTGTTGAACCTGGACAAGAGGCCAAAAGAGGCATTAATACCAAGTATGAAACTACAATTTTCTGATACAAAACTGTCCCCCTGTTCCTTGTTGTGCCTTGCACGCCAAGCAGTCACAGCACAGCCTTTCCTTTATGGCAACGTTTCAATCCAGCAGAGAGGAAGACTGCACTGTATGAGTGGCCTTGTAACTAACAAAAAAGGCTGACAGTCATTTCTGGTGATGTTCTTCTTCCTGCAGCACTGACAGAAGAATGACACTATATGAAGACTTTTAAAATTACAGTCCACAAGAGGAGTGAAAAACCTTATTTTTCATGCAGTTCTCCCTTGTGACTCTGCCACAGTGCTTTCTTTGATTTCTTATTTTAGAATTCTACTTTTTAAAGAAAAAAAAAGGTCTCTAAACTAATGCTAATGCTGCCTATGAGTAGAGTATTTGATTGGGTTTTTTATTTAAATCTTGGCAGTTTTTAATCGAAATAGAACCAGAATTAATAAATAGATTATTTGTGAAACCACTGAATTCATTAATAATTACTGTGTTGAATAAAGAACTCATTAAAGTGACAAGAAATTAGGCACCCTGATTTCTGTGTGCGCTGATTTTATATGTAATCATTGATGTCCTTTGATCCTCTACAGAAATAAGAACCTCTTGCATTGTAGCAAAGGATCAGAGTTTTATGAATGGTTAGAAAAAGGTATTAATAATGAACAGAAAACATTTATTAGATATTTTTATGGAAGAGAAGTAGAATAGGAAAACATATGAATATTTATGGAAGGAAGCCAGATTAATTATGATAAATATTGTTTATTTTAAAGTTGAGTAAATGACTGCTATTGCAGCATTAYGAAAATTATAAAGAGTTGTAGCATCAGTGCACTGGATGTTCTGTGTGATCAGTCTGGAATGAAAGTGGAATGGTCATTCTACTACACTAGTTTATGCAGTTCAACATTGCTATAGCCATGAATTCTACTAGTAATTTTAAAAAATAATCTCAGTGGTTCTAAAAAAGTCAAAACCATGGATTTTGCTATCAAGATTTCTGTCACAGAAAGCTTATTTCGAAGAGTGTTGATAAAATTCTACTGCAAAACATTTTCTAGATAAAAACAGCAAGAAAAAGGAAAAAATTTCCAAAGTAATAAAAATGTTTTCATGGAACAAAATAATTAAGCATTTGCTTAATATTTGGTTAAATAAGATTTACTTAATTTTTCTTTAAAGTGTTTTAATTTTTTTAATGTCTGTGGAGTATTTGTATAATACCATGATGTATATTTATGTAGAACTGAAATTATAACAGTAAAAATATCATTATAGGAGAAAAATGACATTTTAACATATATTGTTCTATCCAGTCAAATTGTGAACCATTTTGAAGTTCATTATAGAGATATTGATAAATTGTGTGGTTGTCTTAATGTTTTTTTAATTATTATTTCATATCCAGCTGAAGTTTTTCAGTTAGAATCATCAGTTGGTATATTCCAAAAATGGATAATTGAACTTGGTTTAAAACTGATAATTGTATATGGTTTAGTTAAACCTAATCATAGCGCTGAGTGATGACATACTTTTAATACCGTATTCAATTTACTTGAACAAAATAGTTCCTTGTACATATTTTTGCTTATTCACTGTTGATATGTACTTAGTCAACTGACAGTAAAAAAAAATTAACACTAAAAATATGGTACCAAAAGGAAAATTGTATAGGAGAACAGTAAATAGTAGCCTCACTGCAACAAATACTTATGTAAATATGCTTGGGCTTCCAGTTATAAATTTTGTAATTTTGTCATTTATTTATATCCTATAAAAGCACACAAAATAAAATGAAGTTGTACAGTCCCAGTTTTGTGTATCATTTTATCATTGCTGAAGGAAATAAGGGGCATAATGTAAATGATACTGAAATCAGGGAGGGTTTCCCCCACTCCCATTTCACTGATTTCATCAGGTTTGGATCTTGTACGGAGGAAACGTAGGAATTGCTGTGGAGAGAGTTTTGGTTTGGAGCACAGATTTTGATTACAGATGGTAAAAATGTCACACTTGCATTAACTGATTCTTCCATGCACTACTAAACTGCTGACTTCCCATATTTAATCACAGTCTTTAAAGACTTGTGCAGGAGTTATGTTAAAACACATTCACTTCAGGCACRTAAAGTACAAACAGCCCAGGTTTTCAGGGTATAAAACTGGAGCACCTCTTAGGCAGCTGAGTGACCCCTCAAATTAAAGGATGAGACAGGAACTGCASCAAGAGCCTAAGCAGATGTAAAGGAAAGGTGTGAAACAACAGGAAGAACTGGCTCCTTATGGGAAGAATTTGATCTAGGTTCATCAAAGAGATGTCAAGCAGGTAAGATGTCACAGTAAACAGGCAGACTCATTTGGGAGAGAAAATGGGGCACAAGAGACTGAAGTTGACTAGCAGAACTGATGAAAGATGAGACAGATGAAAGACTGGTAGGGCAGAGAAGGAGTGTGAAGGTTTTAGGACACAGGCAGTGAGCAACTAAAGCCCCCACAGCAGACAAATTTGAAGTGGAAGGAAAAATAATTAACAGACCTAAGAGACTTCTSTATCTGTGGAAACCTGGGATTTTAGAAGGAAACATATCCATCTGTCCATCCACTACTAACCAATACTAGTGTAAGCCAGTCAGAGAGAAGTCCACAGGGTCTCCTCTAGCATGGGACAGCGTTTCAGCARTCCTTTCTTCAGATCCAAAGGGACTTCTACGAACTTGCACTAATCCAGAGGAGTTACCACGTGATCTTTTCTCTTTTTTTGATCAAGGTGACTTTTCAGGAACTTTAAGTTCCTGGTGTGGTGGAAGTTCATAGGCAGTAAAGGGATAATGGTCAGTCTTAAGAGTGAGGGTAGGGGAAAAGCCAGARACTTCTATAAGATCATAGAGTCAGGAAAATTGCTACTCTTGACCTTGAGGGTAAGAGGGAAGCAGAGGCAGTGAAGGAGAGTAGATGAAGAAGCTGGAGCATTTGGGTGCTGTAAAACCAAGAGTTCATTCCTTAAAGTGGGAAGGTGGAGACGAGGCAAAAGAACAGGTGCTACAGAAGTCARTTGCATTTGACATGAAATTCAACTGAGGTCTGGGTGACAAAGGATTTTGAGAATTACGTGGGTAGTGAGGTCTCTGATATGCTGTTGTGAATGGTGTTTTAGGTCACTCAAAGAGTGACTGGCAAAGCTATTGGCAAAACCGGGTTTAATAAAAATGTGAAAGCACAATAAAGAATGTTATCTGTTTGGAGGTTCAGGATGGGAAAAGGTTAAGGATGGAAAAGGGTGAAAACAAAAAGGAATGAGAGGGATCCTCCTGTTGAGTCACGAAGTTCAGAGTAGACCCTCTTGCCAAACTTAGCTCCAGACTTGACCAATGATTTAGGCCTGAAGTTTTTAACAGCACTTAAGAGCACTTCATTGACCGCCTAATTTAAACAAGAAAAGATTTTTTTAGCATTTACAATGAGCATGACAGTAASTCACAGGCCTAGCTTAGGTACGAGTCTAATCTATTTACGAATTACTGAGATTAGCACCARGGTTAATTATCTCACCTTCACTGACAGGGGCAGGGCCTAGAGCTGTGTGCGTGTGGCTCGGTCAGTGTTCTAAACCACACTCGCAGGGAATGTGGTTCTGGGTGAAGGAAAGGTGAGTGCACAGAGGAAATGTCATTTTGTTCCTTTTTTCCGGAGGAACAAAGCAGCAGCCAGAGCCCTTGGGGTGGTGCAGACACAGAGCAGGGCAGTCAGTGCAAGCAGAGCAGTCAGGGTGTGCAGACAGTCCGGCTTGGAGGGTTTGTCCATTGTTGCTTCTGATTGTCTTGGGCTTGGGGAAGGGGGACACCAGCTGTGGGAGCATCCGTCACATTGTCCTTTGTCTCATGAAGAGATGGAGCAGCTGGGCTCTGGTAACATCTGCCATGTTGTCTTTGTCTCAGTGTGGAGCTGGGTAGGGGTGGTGAGCACCTTTTATATGTAAATCACCTCTTTTATACSTTGTTGTTATGAGTACTGTTTGCTGTTACTGTTTGTTTTCTTTACCTCATTGCTTTTTCTCCAGTAAATTGTTACCTCCACCCATAATCTCTGCCTTTTTGTTTCTTTCTCACTGGAGGGGACTGGGGAAAAGGGAAGCAGCTGTTTGGTTTTAAACCCCAGCAATTTGCTATGGTATAGTCACACTCAGCAGACACAACTAAGRGACTATGGACACATATCTGTGAAAAATTCCCCTCGGGTTCAGTGCAGTACTCTTGTGGGACGCCTTTGAATCGTTTCAAAGGGTGAAGGGTCGAGCCTCAAGGAGTGGAGGTATCAGCCCAGGCTCCATCGTTGGCTTTTGGCAGTGGTCCTACAAATACAGAGAACTTGAGAATCTGCTGGCTCTTTGGAGAGTCCCATTCAGAGGGAATTGTTGGCTGCAGCCCTCCACGATCCAGGGAGGGYCTCACTTAGAACTGCTGTTTATAGGGCTGTGAGAGAGTTTGCTTTTGTCACAGTAATCTTCCGTCCTGGCCCCTATTCAGGTCAGTAACTTTCTGTGAAAGTTCAGTCTTAAATGTGGTGTTACACTTCCATACTTATGCAGGCAAGAAAAATAAGTTTCCAGGACTGTTCACTAAAAAACAGGAGCTCATTAGCCAGCATAAGTTCCGGAGAGCACACCGTGTTTCTGATRAGCCCAAGGAGCTTAGCTGAGCTGTCATTCATTGAGGCCAAGGCCTAATGAGCATTTCTGAAATCACAGTGAGTGCCGTGTGAGAGGGGGGATGCACCACCATCTATGCAAAAGAGCTGCTGCTGGGACAAGGCTTAAAACTGGGGACACTCCTGACAAACACCAGGGAATTTGGGTGTTTGTAGAGTTAGAGGATTTCCCAAAGCAGACGTTGATGTTGCATTTGAGACTGAGTGCAGTGACTCCTCCAAATTGGCCTGGTGTTTATCAAAAGCCAGAAGAGTCACTGCTCACAGCTGGCAGAAGGAAACACTGAGTGTGTCCGGTTCTGGTATTGTGCCAGGATGTTTCTGAGAGGCTGCTCCACCTGCAAAACCACAGGTTAGACATGCCTTGCAGTTTAGAGTCAACATCTCAGCATCAAAAACTGGCATGGCCATAAAATGTTAACCACTAAGAAGGGAATTGTCAGGTTGTGAAGAAGATTGTGTCTGTCCTTTGGAAAAGAAGCAGCATACTAGACAACTAATGAACTTGCACATCCAACTGTGAAATAGTTTATCTCCCATTCTAGATTAAAACAGGCAGTTTGTGCCACATGCAGGACTCTTAATTTTGCTCTGGATTTCTTTCAGTAGGTGCTGTTCACACTTCATGGAAGATAATGTCTAAGATGTCATCAACAGCCTAGAAAGAGTAACTTACTATCTCCAAAGTACCTGCCCAAAGAACAATTGATTCTGTGCAGGAACTGTGTGGCAGTGACAAGCATGTAAGTGAGAGACATGGCATAGGGATAAGAGACAATATTTAAACGTGAGCACTTATCTAAGAAAAAGGATATTTGTTGTCTCATGTTAAAAGATCATCTGAAGAGAGTGGGAATAAAAAGGACTCTTAACTAGCTGGAAACACTGGCAGGATTTTCATCCCACTGGAAAGCATAGGGGGATAATGCTCAGGCTTCTCCTGAAAAGCCCTGCAATTGTTTAGTGCTTTTCAGCTTCTTAGGTGAACCAACTTTGCTAAACAGCAAACTGCTGTTATCAAGGCCATGCTGAATCTAGATAATTATATACTAGCTCTAGTTAACTTTCACACCTGATAACCTGAGGCTGACCACAGGCTTCACTTGTGGCCAGAGTTCACACTGGGTGTAGATTTTGGGGAACTGGTGGAACTGATTCCTTCCTAGTGACTAGACAGTCACACTCATCCTCATTAGAAGCCTGAATGCAACCAGCCCAAACACCACTGTACTGCTGAAGAGGCAGAAAAGGAGAAATGGCCTATGGTCCTCACCTTTCAGGAAGGCATGAATGGGAAACGGCATCTCCATCTGGCTCCYGCACTTGTAAAGACCACAGGAAAATTTCTCTTCAATCCTACTTAAACTTTATATAGTGCCACATTTTTCTTCCTTCTGTGGAATTCAGGTACCTGGATATGTTCGAGGATGTAGGCCTGGATAAAGTGGTAACCACTAGGCAGACAAAAATGCTATCAGTATGTAAATGAAACCAAATTCTCTCTCTTTCTCCTGGCTTCTCTTGCCACTATGAGCCTGGATAGGAAAACTACTTTTTCTACTAATCATAAAAGCTGAATCCAAAACTCTTTATAACAACATAAGAAAAGATGAAGCTTACTGGAAATATTCAAGAACTGCCTGGATGTCATGGGCTCTAGGATAACCCTGCTTGAGCAAGGTTTGATCCACTGTGGTCCCTGCCAACCTTACCTATTCTGTAATTCATACAGTTTCTATGCGTGATGAAGAGGCCTATCACAGATTTAACTTCAAAAACTCACTTGATTGTAAGACACAAGCCTTTTTGTCTTTTTAAATATGGCATYTCCTATTTTCAAGTCATTAAAACTGCCTGAATTCTCCACACCCCTTTATAAAGCTAAATTCATTCTAATATTTAATCCTTAGGGGAAAAAAAAAAAAAAACCCAAACAAACAAAAACATGCTCAGTGTTAAAAATGGGCCAGTTCTTGAGAGAACATGTTCAAATTTTAAGACAGTACATTTGCTATCATATTCTCTGAGCACATAATAGAAAACCAGAAAGTCAATGAKACAATAGAGATGGAAATGTGCTCCAGAGCAGAGAAAACCCAATGAGCATTAACTTTATCCTATAGTGACACCATGAGGAAAAACAGAAACAGAGCACACTAATTTAAAAAAAAATGCATTAGATGCAGTGCAGTCTTCATTCTTCCACTTGTGGTTATTGGATAATGATAATTGCTAGGCTGCAGAATGTCAGACTTGGGCATGTCCTAAGCAAAACTACCCTGATGTATATAGTTGAGGCTAGCACTAGTTCTTTCTTGAATTTATGTTGCAAAGAAGACTAGTATCTTTTTCATTAACTTACCTTCCAGATAGTAGATAAGTATATAAAAGTATCAGTGATGGATTGATTAAGTGAACATTTATGCATTGGCATTGAGTGAATCTACTGAAAAATAAAATTGTCTGAGAATGCTGTGCATGAGTGGAAGTTAATATAAAAAKATATTAGATCATTCACCATGGCCATCTTTCTGTCACAGCCATTACATTTAACTCAGTTTTACTTACATGAAACTTGAAGAGTTAACTCAGCTAAGTACCTCAAAAACCTGGAAAATCAAACTGATTGTTACGAGTAGGAGGGAAAAGAAAGTATTAAGGTGCCAACCTTATCCCCAGTCCTTGATGTGGCAGGAAAGCCCTTTGGTGAGAAGCACCTAAGTAATTCCAGCTGGTGATACACACACTGCAGAGAAAGATGAGGGGAAATATTCCTGCCAATCTGACTTTGGGGATACCCGTTTCCCAGCCAGAAATCTAGTCCTTGTATGATGCAATCTGCAAGGAAAAAAAGAGATGAGTATCTATCTGTTGCACCTGAAGGTACAGGTCAGCTSTGTCAAATACTGCACATCCTAAAGCAGCCTGTCTCAGAGAAAGGTGAAAATATTTAAAGATAAAATTACACAATACACAGAATGAAATTCTTCCTGATCTGTAGATGACCAACAAAACCTCTGAATCCTCATATTTCATAACAATCCCTCSTCTAGAGCAGAGATGTAGATCTTAGCTTTATAAAATACATAACAATTCAAAACATACAGAACATCTCGAGGCATGTAAGAAGAAACAGAATGTTTTCCTGAGATGTTAGTTTAGACTCCATTTTGCATAGAGATRTAGGAGTTAAGAGTTAATTCCTTTGTTTATGATTTTACCAGTTTGTTTTAAATCAAAATATGGTGTGATAATAAATCAAATTCCTTTAAGAAATTGAAAGTTCATGTATTGACAATGTGTTAAAAACAAAAATAAAAATCATAAGCAAAACAATTAGAAATCTGTCAGTAACATTTGCCAAAACCAGTCTCTCAAAAAACTAGTCATGCCTAGAAAAATTCTGGGGTGCTCRGAGTAGACTCTACTTTTCCATTTAACCTCAAATCTGCCATTCTGTTGCTTTCCTCAGGATGGACTACAGGTCAGTAGTAGCCTTGGTCACCTCTTTAAAAAAAAACCAGAAATGTCACGATTCACAACTTTTTGGAAATGTCTCATTTTTTTCAAGGTGTGATGAATTTTACCAGCTGTGATTCAAAGGGCTCGTCTACTRCAGACAAAAGGCTATTTATCATTTGGACTTGGTGATTAAAAATTCTTTCATTTGAACAGGTACATTCCTGTTACCTGTTTTGTTAAGATTATCAATTTCCAACATCATACTTCTTATAAACTRTGTCACTGTGATCAATGGAATAAGCCTCTTTTGGTTAATTACATAGGTTAAATATTAAACACTCTCATTGGTTTTGCTTATACGGATTTCACTCCTTGGTGTAAAACCCCTTGTCACTTGCTCTTGTACTTCATAATTTGCACTCTAAAATATTACAAACACCATCTTTTAATATCCGTGTTGCACTGCAGCTTCCACACCTTTTTTTAAGGGATGTCATGTAAGATAACATCTCATTCAGCAGGTTTGCTAGTGTGGTGGCTTTTTTCACATCTGCTGAACTGTGACTTCTTGGACCACTTTCAAAGCTTCCCAGCTTTAACACATCCTACATTACATCTGTGCTCCCAACCATGTCAAAATTTATTTGCTGGAATGATTCCAAATCTGCAACTCTCTGATCAAGGTGATACCCTGTTATACAAGAAATATGCAAGCAGAGTACAATCAGTGACACCTGGAACAC